AACCAAAGATACTACCAAATAATCTGTAGTTAAGAATTATGTTTTTATCTTTTTAAAAATGTTAAGAGTAGTACTATATTTTTTGTGGTCTCGTCTATGTTGTTCCATACCATGATATGCCAAACTGTACAGATTTAGTCAGACTAAGCTTGGTTTTAAATTAGGGCATGTAAAGTACATAATGATTAAAAATAAAAATTAGTTTTTATTTAATATTTGGGATACCTATATTATGATTAGCTGTGCATGGTACTACTGTATAGATCAACCATCATGCATGGACATTATTAATATTATAGCAGAACCCAGCCCATGTCATAGTGCTACATTTCCAGGATGGTGGATGCCTCTAAATATGTTTGGTTTGTTTTAGTTCCATTTGCAATGTGAAACCATGCAGTGGAAGTAATCAGGGTAGTCAAATTCTATATGAACTTCTATATGAACGCTATCAGATCTGTGCATACTGACCTTGAGCACCTCTAAGGACGTGATTACAAACAGTTTTCTCTGAGGCATATTATTTTTATTGAAAGATATGTTTGAACAACACTTAAAACAAATATTAAGATGTGGTATATTGCATTTCAAGGTTCTCAGTATGTGTTCATAATATTGCATGCGTACTACTACTGTGCAGTAATGCGGATATTGGTTGAGTTTTTTTGCTGTCATAATTTTTTTTTATGATATTACCATATCTGGCAAGACTCGAGGTATAGCATACATTTGTATCTGTTACTACGCAGAGTTTGTTCCCCTTATGTACTGAAAATAACCTGGTCTATGTTGGCTGCATTCTTTACTTGTCATTTCTATGTCAAGAATGGGATTTTACTAAAACATGATGGTTCCTATACTTAACCTTTACTCTAAAATGATCCAAGTGTACATTCAACGAGAACATGTTTATCAACATGTTAAGAAACCCAGCAGCTAATCGCTGGCAAAGTAGGTCACCTGTTTATTGTCAAATCTTCCGCCTTTCTACGATTCCTTGATCCGAGATTGGACTGTCACGCTAACGCGGATTTTTAATCACTGTTCGTTGTCAGTCATGTGATGGCAGCAGTTGAGAATAATGATTCGACAACCCACAAACACTGTAGGGGGCAGCATCAGGTTGCTGTTAACTATAAGTGTTGTTTGATTCCATAGATTAGCCATCACCCCTCTTCAGTTTTATAAACAAATAAAGCTAATTGTATTTTTCAAGAGTACTTAAATGTACATAAGGCCAAGTAAAAAAAAAACATGTTTCACGTCCGGCTTTTTTTTTAAATTGAGGAAGAGGCCTTTTTTATTTTTTATTTTTTATTTTTCAAAATGGCCGCCATTCTACAGCCTCGGTTTACCAGTCGCATTTAGGAATCATTGTTACTGTATACAATCGGAATGTTCCCGATGTTACGTCTCAGACGTCTTCACATGAAACTATTCCATACAATCTGACATAGAGGGCCAGTATAACGGCAAATTCCAGAATTCATCGGAAATCATTGGCCGTATTCGATTGGGACTTTCGTGCTCTGCTCAACGGAAACTGCTCAACGAAGTTAACGCTCGGAATTTATCGTTGAGTTTTGTACTCAACGGGATAACATACTCAAC